TTATTAGAATCAAGAACGGAAAACGTGAGGCGGCCACACAGGCAGCTCTTGCTAAAGGATTAATAACACCAGAACAAGCCTCTGCTAATAGTAAAAACATTTTCTTCACTATTGAAGATGAAGATGACAATGATAGTCGGGAATATACTGACTCATCTAGAACTATGATGCATGACAGTTCTTCGGCTGAATCATCAACTAAAAGTCGAGAGGCTACACCTCATGACGATGACTCACAAATTTCTTCTTTAAATAAACCACGTAATCCATCCGAACGTCTTTTTGTACAAGATGTAGACTATGATGATGTAACCGATTATGATGATCAGTAAGTATTAAAACTTTGGTGGTGAGATAAATGATGTCGTCGGTTATTGATACAACTAAGAAGCATGACCTTGAATTATTATTATGGAAAAATTTAAATAGTGCATCGTTGCATTTAGTGCATCCTATTTTTACTGTCGTCGGGTTTGGGTTAGGGTCAGGTTAAGGTTAGCTTTAGAGTTAGTAAAGGAAGGTTATACCAAATTTTGCGGGAAATATTTTTTTGTTAGAACGCAAAAGGTGGTTCTTAGGCGAAATTTCAACTTATGAAGAATTTCTTATCAACATCTTCACGTTACACGCATGATCGTGCTATCTGATTGGCCCACTCAATGATGCACCGAATGCGCCATGCACCAAACAAATTCCTATTATTATAAAAATACGTATAAAAATAAATAAAAAAAAATTTTATGTTACATATTATATTTATAATTTGTTTTTTTCTTTTTTACTTTATTATATATAATTTAACTAATCTTAAAATCTATTAATAAATAATACATGAAACTTCAAAATTCTAGATCATCGCCACAATTGAAATAAAGAACATATACAGTATAACGATAATATAACAAGGGCTTCGATCTGGCAGTAAATCAGAATAACATGAAAAGATCTAAGAATTGCAATCTGAATTAACGTGTTAAGTTATTTTTAGTTGTTAATAGAGTAATTTAGAATGGTGAAAATTATACTATGTCAGAGTAAACATTAAAATCGCATCGTGCTTGAAATTATCATTTCAGATTATATTTATAATTTATACTAGAGTATGCTACTCTGGGTTAAATTTTATAGTACACACGTATATTGTAAAATATATATATTACTAAAATATAGTATATATTTTGAATATTTTAAATAATTTTTAATATTATGATTTTAATATGTACTGTATATAATAATTATCAAAAAATTGTTTATATTTTAATTCAAAACAGTATTAGTTTTAAAATATTATTTAATTTAATTAAATTTGTTAAAAATTTTTAAATTAAACCAAAACAATATAAAATTTCAAAATTATAAGTTTTGTAAATCAAATT